TCTACTGTCCCTGATGGTCAGTCTCTGAGACAGTTGTCTAACTGTTTCAAATATGTTTTATTGCACTTCTTCCTTCATGAATGTTCACACTGATGAATAATAAATAATGCCATGACCATATCACAGAGCTTTTATTTGTGATAATTGATTCAGGCCAAGAAGCTGAGGTTATGTCTGTCTGAATGTATAAGAAAAATAAACTAAAATAAAAGTAAACAAGGCAGTGTCCACCCTCCTCAATAATTTGTCATTAAACTTTATACCAGCTGAATGTTTGATGTGGTTTGACAAACCACTCACTTACAGTTTCCTCTGTGGGTTTCTCACGAGGAAGATAAGGGTAATGATTGGACTTTCTCTAAGTCCATTCCACCTCAATAGGGTTTAAGTTTGTTAAAGAAAATCTTTAGCCATTGTGTAATGATTGGACTATGGGGATATGAAGAATGGATCCAGAGGGGACAAGGAAAAATCACAGGTTTGTGATAAAACCTCCATAGCAACCATCACTCCAGAGAACAAATACCTGGAGAGTTTTCTCCATTTAATTGTCTTTTCTTTGCCCATCTCTGTGCCGTTATTAACACCATTTAGAGGTACCCTGGTTGCAGACACCTACCTTGTTGTGAGTGGAGAGTTTTTTTTCATGGCTAACAGCTTCCATTTGAGAGTTAATAGGACCCATTCTGGAAACATTGGGGAATACGATATAGACAATTTCAACCTTTGTCAAGAATTCTTTCTTCCTGGGGCATCATGGTCAAGGTGAGAGTTCAAGATATAGAGAAAAGAGTGGTCTATGGTTTCCCATTAGACCTATGTGGAAAAAGGTTTATGGTTCTTAAGTACATTATTTACTACTTATCATTCATTCCTTCAATCTCTACTTGTTCTCATTCTACCCAACCTTTTTCAAGCTCTCTGACCATAAGGAATAGCACTTCTGTAATCTAAACCATTGGGCATAACTCTAAGTTGTGGACTGGATGTTTATTCAGTCAAGCAATTTCTTGAGAATTGAACTGTGGGTTTTTTTTGGTATTTAATCTATAAGAATAATATGATCGACTAAAGTTAACAAGGTAATGTCTGTAAACTATAACATATCAAAGTCAATCAAGTAACTCATTAAAAATATTTATTTTAACTCATTAAAAATATTTATTTACTGACTTTCAGAATTTTCTAAGATCAACTATGCTTATCCTAGGTCTTCAAATTTATCCATAACTCAGAAGCTTTCCATTTTTTCCCCTGGAAGATTCTGCTTAAAAATAAAAATATCAGTTTTATAATATTTCTGATATAATTACTGTATAGCAAGAGATATTTGTCTCTAAATTAGGATATTAAATCTTATAAGAAATACTATAGACCACCTGAAATACATAAAATATATCTACAATGTCATCTTTGGAGATTTTGAAGTCTCAAGATATTAGATTACATAGCATAGAATAAGAGAGAGTCCCCTCAGCAACAGACAGTGTTGATCTCTTGTCTAATTCACTGTTCTAAATTATATTACTCTTCTTCATTCAACACTAGCACTGTCCTCCCATTGTTCATCGATTTCCTTGAGTGGGCCCAGTAATGTCTACATTGTGAGATTTGTTGTTAAAGTGTTTTGGCATATCAAATACGTCACTGATAGCTTGCCAGGTTTTGCCATGAGGGCGAGATACTCTCGGTAGCTTGTCAGACTATTCTGGCTTTTTACAACTTATTTTATCCAAAACAACTATGTCCTAAGTATATCAGAATTAGAAAGGGTTTTAATGCTTACAGTGAAATCACCAATGAATATTTACTTTGGCCACCTTCCCTTCTCCAAAATTTCTTGGAAATGATACACGTAGGCAAAAAATAAAGAAAAGAGAATATGTTGAGAAATTTTTTCTTTTCCTCAAGTTCAGTCTCTGAACAACAAAATAATCTGTTTCAGGTCATTTATAAAAGCCATTGATCATAAAGGAGAAATTAATATAGTATTTGTCTTTCTGTATCTACTCTATTAGCATAATGATCTGAAAATTATTAATGTCACGGACAGAATGCATTTTTCATGCTTAAGTAATATTCAGTTTAATGTAGATGAAATAGATATATATTCATCCTTTTTATTAGTGTTGCATGCTAATAATATAGTGAATTGCTCTCCCAGATTTATTGTCTCCTAAATGAATTTACCCCCAATCCTCACTGACAATACTTCTCTTGACAACAAACTTCCTTACCTTCTCTCTTTAAAAATTATTTTTAGAGTTCCTTAATTTTTCTTCTGTCAGTGTTATCAGTTTCTAAATTTCTTGCTCCAAATTCAGACTATGCCTGTGCTGACCAAAAGTACTATTACTTAAAGCTCTTCATAGAAAAGGTATTTCTGTTACTTTGTCTATTTTTACACTCAGATTGTATGGCTAGCCTCATATGCATTGCATAGATAAGCACATTTTTAATAAACCCTGCTCCTAAACAAAAACTGATCCTAAATAGAAAACCAGTGTTTCAAAATTTCAGACTTCAAAAGCTTGAAGTGACTTTGAAGAGTGAGCCCTTGACTTGGTCTCAGCTGGTAAAGAGGTACTCAGGGATACATGTAGGTGTCAGTAGTGCTGAGGAGACACCCTAGTATTACAGCGTTAGATACTAAATGAACTACTTTTGCTGTTGTTTTGTTTTAAGATTTATTTTTAATAGAATAACCTTGAGATACACAGTTACAAGTTTGTTCACAACTCATTTTCAATCATACAATATTCTAACACCCATAACTTCACCAGTGCACATTTCCTATCACCAATGTCTCCAGTTTCCCTACCATTCCCAGTCCAACCTTGCAGCCTGTCTCTATGGCAACCCCCTTCTCTCTCTCTCTCTCTCTCTCTCTCTCTCTCTCTCTCTCTCTCTATTCCCCTCTCTCTTTTTTCCTTCTAGGCACTATGATTTAAAATACTGTTATTGAAAAGGTATCATGCATACCACTTTACCTCTTCCATGTCCCAGCCCATGTCCAGAGTGATCATTTCCCAATAGCATTGTATTTTAATCACAATGGAATGAATCCAAATAAAAAATGAGAAAATAAATAGTAATTTTCCATCACTCTGGAGACAGAGCCAAAGACAATGTTATTGAATTGGAGGTGTTTCTGTTCAATGAGAATATGCTCGCTTCCTTGCTCTCATCTCATTTTTTTAATAGGCCCATTTTGAAGTACATATTACTATAATGTAAATTTTAGAGGCGAGTAAGTTGGCATTCAGGAATGGTTAAACTTTGTACATAGATAAAATGGCAGAGTTGGGACTCTTTTCTGATGAGAATCTGTATTTTTCAATTCTATTTTAGCTTAAGGGTGTTTGTGTAAGAATTGTTTCCATATTGTCTCTTATAGTGGAAGTGACTAACCTACATTTTTTGAAGTTTAAGTTTATTGAGTAAAGGTGTATTAGCACTGGTACAGATGGCCTAAGGGTCATCTGAGAAAATAACAACTTATTTTATCTAAAGAGGCCGTTGAAAACTACTTTGTGTTATTTACCATTTGACTTGAAGATTTAGTGCTTATCTCCCCTGGACGGAGTTCACAGAAGAAAGACAGAGAGAATTTCAGATCTGTTTTGGTTTTCAAATTTTCTTGTATATTGCTTCAGTGACATGAGATAAGTCATTGCTTTTTGTAGGAGAATCTTTAACCCTGGAAACATGAATAGTCTCTAATAGTCTCCAGAATGATTAAACATACCACAAACTGTATGCTAAGGTGGTGAGTGGTTGCAATTGTTTTCTTCACAGTCCTGAAGCTTACCAAAATATTAGTAAACTAACCCAAGTAAAATCAAGAACCACATTTTAGATAATTTAAGTGAAAAGTCTTTTGTTGAGGGGTAAGTGTGGGGGTTTTGGGGGTGGGGGACACACATGAAACTGCTCAGGGCTTACTCTTGGCTGTGAACTAGAGGATCCAACCCAGGCTGGCCACAGACCAGACAAGTAACTTACTCACTATATCTCCAGTCCCAATAACTTCACGATTTGAAGCAGAAAAATATATGCCTGCCAGGAAAGCACTATAAGTCTCTCTCCACTGTGTCTTCGGTCAAAGGAGGGATTTTCCTAGAGTCAAGTGACCTCCATTTCCAATCTTCCTACTTGGGTGTGACTTATCACACCTTCTCTTGACAGTGTTCCCATATCTCTCAAGGCCTGATGAACACAGAAAAGTAGATTCACCATTGTTCACATCCTGATTACAAATTAAATATTAGTTCTCAAGATAACTCCTGTAGAGATTTTCCAAATACTGAGTTAGATACTGTCAGGATAATGAGTGATTAAAACCACTAGTTTTCATTGTAGAGGTACATGACAGTTTTATCTCAATTTGGTATAGTTCCAAATCTCATAGCTAAGAGGATGAAGAACCTCCGGCTCCGGGCACATCTCTTTGATTCCACTGTTCTTCCTGCATTAACATATGCCTCAGAGACCTGGGCCCTACGCAAACAGGATGAGAACGCTATCCAGGTCTCCCAAAGAAGAATAGAAAGAGCTATGCTTGGAATATCACGTTTCACTCAAATGAGAGAAAGAATCCGGAGTTCTGACATCCGTCGACGATCAAGGATCAGGGATGCTGTCTCATTTGCCAAGGTGTCGAAAATCAGATGGGCTGGTCACGTAATGAGATTTAAAGACGACCGTTGGACCAGAGCTGTTACTGACTGGATTCCACGGGATGTCAAAAGATCACGTGGCCGCCCACCTACCAGATGGTCAGATTTCTTCGTCAAGATCATGAACGATCGGTCTGAGGCCCTTCATGTTCCCGGAGCGAACAGATGCCATTGGGCTACACTAGCACGCGACAGGGACAAATGGAGACGTTACTGGCACCCGCTCGAGCAAATCGACGACTAACGGGAAGTTAAGTGATTAAGTGATTAAGTGTAATTTTGATAAGGAAAACAGAAAACTAACACTTTTTTGGCTGGCATATAATTACCTGGTAGAGGAGATAAAATGGCAATGTAGGTGTTAGGTGTTTTTCCCAGAGTGAGGCTTATCCTTTGTACTCCGTATGTGCTGATTCCTGCTATTTCCCCAAGTGTGGAAAAATTGGCCACATTGTTTTTGGTAGGGGGGGGACTGTGTTCGTGGTCTCCCCTGTTTTTTTTTTTTTATTAAAAAAACTTACGGGATAATGTTCTGATGAGAATGAACTATAGATTTTGCACACCCCCAGGATAGAATGAAAGTGCTTATGCAAAATGCTGACAAAATTGTGATTAAACAAGAAATACTGATATAATATTTCTAGGAAATGGTGGATATTCATTCAGTTGTCTGACTAAAAAAATAAAGAATACTTCTGTATGTGTCTCCTTTAAGAACAAAACCATTTCCTCTCTTATCTTTTTTTCAGGAGATGGTGCCAAGCATGCCCTTGGAAGGCCAGGGCAATCACACATCTGGTTTCATGTTTGTTCTCCTGGGACTTTCAGATGAAAGAAACCTGCAGCTTATTCTCTTTCCAATCTTCTTAGGAACCTATCTTGTGACCCTCATTTCGAACTTGACTCTTATTACCCTAATCAGGATGGACTCCCACTTGCATACACCTATGTATTTTTTTCTTAGTTTCCTTTCATTTATAGATGTTTGTTATTCTACTTCTATCAATCCAAGGATGCTTTCAGATTTCTTCAGAGATCAAAAAATAATTTCCCCTATTGCCTGTGCTACCCAGTATTTTGTGGTATCTTGGATGGGTCAGGCTGAGGGTTGCCTCTTGGCTGCCATGGCCTATGACAGATATGTGGCCATTGGTAACCCTCTGCAGTATTCAACCATCATGGCACCTGGGCTCTGTCAGATGATGGTGGCTGGGGCTCTTGGAACTGGTTTACTCTGTGGCTTAGTTGAAACAATTTCTGCCTTTAATCTGCACTACTGTGGGCCCAACTTAATTCAACATTTCTTTTGTAATGTTCCTGAGATTGTCGTTTTAGCTTGTTCCAGTCCCTATATCAGCCAAATGATTCTTTTTCTTGTAGCGACGTCTGTTGGGTTTGGTTCTTTGTTAATTATCTTGCTATCCTATGGGTACATTGCAGCTTCCATTCTGAAAATATCCTCAGTCAAAGGCAGTCTCAAGGCCTTCAATACCTGTCCCTCCCACCTGGCCGTTGTGACCCTTTTCTATGGCACAGCCCTGGCTGTGTATGGGAATCCCAGTTCTGGCCACTCTGATAAGCAGAACAAGATACTCTCAGTGTTCTATGTTATTATTATCCCTATGTTGAACCCTCTAATCTATAGTTTAAGGAACAAGGAAATCAAGGCAGCATTAAGGAGGGGGATAAAAAAGTCAAGGCATTAACCTCAGAAAGAATAATTTGGAATGTTTTATTCACATATCTTATTTATATAATGAATAATTATTTGCTTCAACAGGTTAGAAACTAAAAGAAAGAACAATATAGTATGTTTTGTGTGTATTATTTCTTTTTAATGAAGATAAGATGTAAAAAATTGTTTATCATTGGAATCATGGAATGAAGAAAACTAAAAATATGGATCTCATGCCTATTTTGTTTATTTTTGAATGAATGATTTTTAATTTACAGTATAATTTTTAAAATTAATATCATTTATCAGGGATCATATAAACTGAAATGAATGTCTCTACTACACTGCACCCAGAGTGGTTAAGATTCTTCCCTTCCCCTTTGCTCCTCCCATCCTCTTCTGGTTACCACCATTTTGTTTCAAGAGAATGAATTATTTTGTTCTGTTTTAAAATTCTGTCTTTGCTTTGCTTTTATGTTGTGTTGGGGAACTTTTATCTCCAAAACGGCTGGACCTATTGCACACCGGAAGCGGCCAGGAACAGCCAGGCCAGCGGTTCATGAGGTAAAGGAGGGCAGGCACCTTAGGAGCAGATTCAATGATCACAGCTCTATTTTATAGCCAAATGAACACATCCTTATAGAGAGTCTTGGCTTACGGGAGATCCAATCATATTAGAGCCTAACACTAGTGGCCAATCACTTTTTCCTCTGCTTTGCCCTCGTCCAATCCCCTTCAAGGCTGTATGTTGCGGTTAGGGTGACTCGCTTAAGAAGTATGTGACGGTTTCTGTGTTTTAGGCGTTGGTGTGAGTAGGGGGTCGAGTGCGGCTCAAGGCCAGACACAACATGCAGGCACCCTATTTTATTATCTCTGTGTAGTTACTCCCCCTTGCAAGGTTTCACTTCAGGGCTGTTTTGCAATGGTTTTTCCTGCTCCAGTGCCCATAGCCCTGCTCCTCAATGTTGCACATAGGATTGCAGCCATTTAATAATTATCTTTTACCTTCTCATTTTTCTGATTTATCTTTCTTTATATTTATTATTATTAGTAGTAGTAGTATTTTGGATTTTGGGTCACGCCTAGTTATGCTTCTGGTTTTTGGGTCACGCCTAGTTATGCTTCTGGTTTTTGACTAGGGGTCACTCTTGGTGGTAGTTCAGGGACCATTTGTGGTACTGGGGATCAAACCTCAGTTGGCTGCATTCCAAGCAAGCACTTTAACTACCCCCGAGCTATGCAACTGGTCCTTTTCTCAGTATAGTTGCTTCAAGTTCCATCTATGTTGTTTCAAAAAGAGAATATTTTATTTTTAAAAATATATTTTGTTGCCACCATTAAATTATCTAAGCAAATTGAATGTCAGCTTTAAGGAAGGTAAAGGTAAAGGTAAAGGCCCTCCCGTTGATCGTCGATTTGCTCGAGCGGGCCCAGTAACGTCTCCATTGGAGACTTTGTTGTTACTGTGTTTGGCATATCGAATACTCTCGGTAGCTTGCCGGGCTCTCCGAGAGGGGCAGAGGAATCGAACTCGGGTCGGCCATGTTGGCCGCTTGTAAGGCGAACGCCCTAGCCGCTGTGCTATCGCTCCAGCCCTAAAGGCCCTCCTTTAAGCTTTAAGGAAAGGAGAAATTATACAAGGGTAAGGTACTTACTAGCCTTGTACTTAGCCAATCCTGTTTTTATACCCCTGACAACATATATTGTACCCCAGGAGAACCATCAAGCATGATCCTTGAGCACAGAGTCAGGAATAAGCCCTGAGGGCTACTAAGTGTGGCCAAAAAGAAAAAAAAAAGAATCAGCTTTATAACCCTGTTCCCTGTTTCCCACTTCTTGGCAACTATCTCAAGAACATAAAACATTAAACAAAAAAGACACATACAAAGCTACGTTCATTGCAGCACTATTTAAAATAGCCAAGATCTGAAAACCACCCAAATGCCCAAAGACTTTTTAGTGGATAAAAAAATTATGATATGTATTTACAATGGAATACTACTCAGCTGAAAGTAAAATGAAACCTTATCTCTTTATTTTGTTATCTCTGTTGTTTTATTTACTAAATTTTTTTAATTGAATCACAGTGAGCTACACAGTTACAAGGTGGTTCTTATTTAGATTTCAGTTATGTAATGTTCCAACACCCATCCCTTAACCAGTATACATTTCCCACTACCCAATCTTATCTTTTGATACAATGTGGATGGATCTATAGATGTTATATTAAATGAAGCCAGAGGAAGAATTATAAATGTCAGATGATCTCATTCAATGTGGTATATAAATAAAGAATTAAGGAAATAGATAATCATCAATGAAAACAAACACTTGTATTTTGACAATAGTCCAAAAGTTACTAAGTTGGGGAAGTGGGGTGGGAGAAGAAGAAAGAAATAGAAAAATAGAAACTATGTAATGATAGTGTAGGGACTCTTTGACTCCTTGGTCGTGTGAACATGCAGTACTTTGTACACTAAAAGCACTATTGTAACCGTATTTTATCAACAATACTCAAATATTATGATAAAAAATATACTTGCATAATTAAATTAGGTTGTGTGAAGATTCAGTGACTTTGTACACTAAAAGCACTATTATAAGCGAATGTTATCAACAATAATCAAATATTAAAATAAAAAGTATACCTTCATTATTAAACTAATGTGGATAAACTGTCATAAGGCAGAGGTTCAGATCGATATGAAATGCGTAATAATAAGAACTTCATAGAATTTCCGTATTTTATATTTAATTGTCAATTGCTTATTTCTATTTCAATGAAATAATTTGAAAATTAGATATATTAAGCTTAAAACAATTTTAAACCTATGCATCATAAACATTGAAAGAAATGGTGTGAGAAGAATGAATGGAAGGGGAGAAATAGAAAGATTTATCTTGTTCTTTTACTGGAAACCAGTTTTTTTCTGCATAACTCTCATTCTTCTTTTTGAGAAAAACAGATGGGATAGGGAATAAAAAAAGAAGAGGCAATTAAAAATTCAATAGTTGATATTCTCAGAAGTTAGAAAGTTGCAGGGTCGGGCTGGAACAATAGTACAGCGGGTAGAGCATTTGCCTTGCACGCGGCCAACCCGAGTTCAATTCCCAGATTCCATATGATCCCCTAAGCGCCACCAGGAGTAATTCCTAAGTGCAGAGCCAGGAGTAACCCCTGTGCATTGCTGGGCATGACCCCAAAAGCAAAATAAATAAATAAATGTTGTAAAAACTAAAAAGAAAGAAAATTGCAGGGTCATTTTTTACTGGGCACAGTTGAGCATGGAGTATGTTTCATGGAAGTTTCCCTGGGACATGCAAGGCTTCAAAAATGATCCCTGTCATGTGTTCAGAAAGGTGGTTTTAAGTACCAGATATGTAAATTAATCAGGGAGTCCAGAGTCTTAAATTTACCATGAACTGGAGGGATCACCAGGAAGACTCAGAGTTCAGCTAAGAAAATTGATGGAGCATTTATCACTTAATCACTTAACTTCCCGTTAGTCATCGATTTGCTCGAGCGGGCGCCAGTAACGTCTCCATTTGTCCCTGTCGCGTGCTAGTATAGGCCAATGGCATCTGTTCGCTCTGGGAACATGAAGAGCCTCAAACCGATCGTTCATGATCTTCACGAAGAAGTCTGACCATCTGGTAGGTGGGCAGCCACGCGGCCTTTTGACATCCCGTGGAATCCAGTCAGTAACAGCTCTAGTCCAGCGGTCGTCTTTAAATCTCATTATGTGACCAGCCCATATGATTTTCAACACCTTGGCAAATGAGACAGCGTCCCTGATTCTTGATCGTCGACGGATGTC